AAAGGAAAAAAGAGAGGAAAGCTGAAAGGAAGGAACAAAGAGTTGGAGGGAGAGCAAGAGGAGCGGAGTCTTTGGAGGGCAGCTGGAAAGCCTCCAGAATCCTCTGCTCAAACCAACCATAAAATTCCAACTGAAGCCACAAAACCAGTGCGAGGACTGACGAGGCTGCCTATTGCCCACAGTGGGTGTGTGTGTGTCTACGTTTGAGTGTGTCTGTGGTGTGCACACATTTATTTTTTGTGTATGTGTGTGCCATATGTGATTAAAGGGTCCGAGCAGAGGAGGCCAGGAGGCAGACGAGTGATGCAATCCGCGGAAGCATAGGAGAGGACACGAGGGCGGCAGGAAGGAAGGGAGGGAAGGGAGGAAGGAGGGATTGTTGCTTCTGGGGATCGAGCTCTCCAGGAATGTGCTGACGGTCATGTCCCACACAGTCTGAGAGAGTGTTGCATTCTGGGGTGCTATGAGGAGGTGAGAACACCTGTTTTAGTGTGCTACAGATTGCAAATGGGTGATCAAATCACACATTGCAAAGAGATAGACTTTGTGAGTCATTATTGTTCATTTTGAAAGGCACAACAATTGCTTTTCCCTGTGCAAAATGGTCTCCAACAGTGCAGGCTGGAGGCCCGAATCCACCCTCACGAAGCAGTGGAGAGCTATTTTGGTGCGAGCTACACAATGTCCACAAGCACCCACACAGGCTCGGTGGGTAAGGTGATTGGTAAGCCTGGACAAATAGTCTATTTATGAGCATCACAAGAGTGGGAGGTTGTCCTTGAGCTGGTTTGTCTGCTGTCTGAAGTGCTAAGTGCCGTATACAGTTACAATAGATAGAACATGCACAAGGACGAGTGAAGGTGGAGAGGGGGTGAGGAAGGGAGAGGAGGGGGGGGGGGGGGGTAGGTGAATAGAGCACTGGGAATAGAGATGGTGAGTCAGAGGCCATTTGGAAAGTAATTTCATCTCTGAATGCCGTATATCTTTTCATCAATGGAAGGAAAGTATTTTCCGAAGCAGAAGAAAAAGATCTCTGTTCGGTGAAATAGAGCCTATTTGAGGGGGAGAAGATACAGTAGATACCATTCTCAGGTTATTTCTGTGCTCTATTTATTTCGCGTAGGTGAAGTTGTTTGTTGGGATACACTGCAGTGAAGGGAAGTTTGTAGAAAGAATAAGAGTCTACAGTTATGCTTTGTGATGCATGATGATAGCATGCTAACCTGTTAACAAAGACAGTGCTAACATGCTGATGTTTGGCAAGTATAATGTTTACCATTGTCAATATCTTGTATAGCATGTTAGCATATTAACATCTACTAAGTTGTTTTTCAAAAACTGAGTAGTTTTGGTAACACTTTCTATTTTTCATGCTCATTTATAGAATGCATTATAAAATACTTAAGCATTAAAATCCCTGTACTTATGATGTGTTGTATTTACCATATAGTTGTAAAACAATATTATCACTTGCATATCCATAACGACATGATTACAAGGCACTTTAAGTGGCCATTGTCTTCCTTTAGGTGAAGTGAAAAAATGTAATTAAATAAATGCAAGGACAACAAAAATACTTTTGTAAAAACACAAACCTTGATTAATTGCTCAAACCTTTAAATGAGTACTTCAATTTGACACATTTCATTTTTTTGAAGTGTTTACAATGCAAGGGTGAAAAGTGTAATTGTTATTTCAGCATGATGGTGGCCCTAGAAGGAAACTAAGTGTCTCCGAGTTCATTGACGAGACATCATAGATATCTTTACCAAATGTTAAGCCAATCGAAAAGGTCAGCTGACAGGCAATGCCATGGTTAGAGCTATGCTGCTATAGCGTGATGACTACATCATTTTGTTCCCTCATAAGCCACAAAGACACACCACAGGCAATAATCTTCACATAATGGCACCAAGAGTCTTCTGCAATTTTGGTGAATCATTGGTGTCTTATGTCCTGATGTTACATAATGAGGTTTTAGGGGTTCTATCGACATTCTGGACTGACTGAGTGTGGTAAGGCATCTAGCCAGTGCAAAAGGGAAAAGAGAGGGGGGAAAGGGGGAAGAAGTTAAGTTAAAGTGTTAGGAGAGACTACCAGGGACGGGTTTGGACTGCTGTGTGTATCCTGGCAAAGCAGTCTTGGCCTTGACAGGACTGAACAAACATGTACAATATTTGACTCCTGCCCGATGTTACAAAAACATGGTTGCTAATTCATGTCCATTTATTAAAACAACCAAAACTACTCTCCAAATCTGCATAAAACTAATAATTGTAATTTAAGTGTCAAATAAGGAACTCACCATTTATGAAAAAACTAAACAAATTGATGCCCACTTTAAGTTTAAGATCATGAAAAAACGATAATTCATAAAAGATGTTTTCTGTAAGTTCACTGACTGGAGGGGAAGAGAAAAATGAGTTGGACCAATTAGTGATTGGTCTGGCATCAGCTGTGTGGTTCTTTGGGCAAGCACAAAGAGAATGCTGCGGTTACTCTTGGACCACTACTGTCTTCACTTCCATGTACAGTTATGTTCTAGTGTTTACCATTACTGGTTCAGTTCTACATGGATTGTGAGTCAGCCCAGTTAAGGAGCTGTACAGAGGTCCTGCAAGGACACTCACCTACCCTCATCCAAATGTAAGTGTTTGCACGATTCCAACACACAAACCGAGCCCGGATACGACCATGGCCACCAAACTTCTCTGTTTTCCTTTCAGTTTGTGTGTGCTCTGTAGCCTCAAATTAAAATCAGCTTTGGCTTTGAGTTTGTCTTTTTCTCTCACACAGTGCACATCTTGTCATGTTGTTTGTGCGCTGTGGAACGTCAGCTAAGATATGTTCGGTTGTGTGGAGGAGTCTACCCATAGCAAAGCAAACACGACCCAACGTCAGAATGTTTTGTTTGCTGAGCCTGTCACCTTTCAGCGAGCGTTTGCACCTCGTGTTCTTCACTGACAAGGTGGTGATGTACCCGTGGGAATTGTATTTTGTTACTGGACAGGCTGGCAACACAGCTGGCTATTAAGGCTGGCATGAACTGGCAACATCTGAACCCTTGGCAGTAGCTTTCTTGATATCCACATTCTCTCTCCCCAGCTGAATTGTGCACTTTTGAAAATCACAAAATGCCCCGCAGACATTTGAAAAGTCAAACCAGTATCACTGCGGAAAGTAGATTAAAATGGCATGTTCTGAAATGACTATTTGACCTTTTGTTATTTCAGTGCAGTAAATGTTCATCTCCTTGATTACACATATCAACCAGTGATGACACGTAGAAACCTCAAGTCTGGTTCTGTGCCACATCTTTGTTCTGACAAAGCATCCTGTGACAACATCACAAACCACAACTTGGGTTTAATATTACCACAAACATTACTCAGAATCTGACCTTGCTCAACTTTTTTTTATAAATGTCAAATAACAGTATGCGGCAAAAGAAAAATGAAAATGGGACACAGCTGGTCACAACCTCAACGGCTATATAATCTTAATATGAAGCCTGGAGTCCTTCTTTCAGACAAGAAAAGTCGAACAAAAAAGAAAGAGTTTGCAATACTGGGCCTCAAGTGAAAAATATTTTCCTTCTTCTAGTCTCAGTCATGTCAAAAGTTATACTAAAGTCAATAAACTGAAAATTCATTTGTAGGACTCGTCTCATTAACTTGCACATGGTAATTCAATAATATTTCATTAAACTCTAAGCTTCTTTTCATGTGATAATTTACGCCATTAATATCTATGCAAATGCTTATGATTCCCATGAGCAGTTACAGATCATTACATCTGCAGATTTTGTGCACTTTTTATATAAAGATAAACCAGGAAGGAGCAGTTATATGAGAAATGTCACCTTAAAAATGTGTGTTGTGAGTGGCAGAAGAGTGATGTAGCCTAATAAAAGCCAGGCGAACACTGCGTTCCAGGTCAGAGCTTGAAGTCTGCACAGCTTCGGTCCAGAGAGCAGCATGAGTCACCGGAACTGAGCAGATTGCTAGCTTGCAGAATTCATTAAGACAAATGTAAGGTATATGGATTTCCTCTGGAAGAAAGGAAAAAACCTTGGCAGCTGCAGAACAGCACCCTAGTGAATCCTCAAGTAGCTTTCCATATACCTTTGGAATGACAGCATGCTTTGTGCAATTCTCTACATGATGTATGGTGGTCTGGATATCAAATAATAGGTTTAAACCCTTCAATGTGTTGGCCAATGTGGTATTGTTTTTGGAACCATTTGCATACAGCCAAAACAGACTATCACAGCTCTTTAATGGCAATAGGCAAATACATTTTTAACAGCTAATTTAATACTTAACAAGAGGGTCTGCCCGGTGACACTATCGGCTAGAATGAGAATAGTCAGTGTGGAAACTGATAATGTTGAACAAAATGCAAATGTTGCTGTTAAAGATGCAGGCTAAAGTGTTTTTAAATTCTAGTTTTTAGTCTATCCAGTCATTTTCATCTGTGCAATGGCGCCCCAGTGTGGGAACAAGGCAGTAGTGCAGTAATAAAAACTGCTCATTTTTTGGTGTCACAGTTACGGTAATGTCATTACTCTAGTAAATCACTGTTTAAAATAACATTAATGCTACAGTTGCTATATATTGGTACCCCGTTCAACGTGTTCACAAGATAGGGGCTAACATTTAGCTTGGACAAAAACGTGAAGCAGGGTTTTGCCTAAAATCAAATGCTATTTACAGCAGCAACAGCAGCAAATGAAGTGCAACAGATTATTGCTCAACGCCTGTTCAAAATATAGTGGAACGGACAATGTTGGATTATAGTAAAGGCAAAGCAAATACATTATGAATTATTATCTAACGTTAGCTGAACTAGCTTAACAGTAGAGCCTCAAAATGAAACGTTTGAACAAATGTCAGAGGCGCTACGTTTCAGGCGATAACATTATGGACTTTTTGTCAACAAACCTGAACAAATGATCCAGGGACAGCAGTTGTGTCTGGGAACTCAAACTTTAAATACGACCATAAATGAATCACTGATCCCGAGTCAGCCAAATCGACACCGGATGTCAGTAAGTAAAAGGAAAAGTTCCGTTTTCGGGAGCGATTTTCTACAGGAAATACCTTCCGCCGTAGAGAGCATTTGTGAAGGGCTGCCATTTTACCGACCTTACGGTAAGAAAACTTGCTTCGTGTTGTTGTGTGGTTAGCTGGCTGCCACACGTTCACACAAGCCCTGTGTTCAGAGTTCTCTGTGTTGAACTAGTGTTATTGCAAATCCGTTTCAGTTTGTTTCGGGATGACATTTAACGTTAGCTAACCTAGCTATGCTACTGTTAGCATTAACTGAACCTAACCCACTGAACATTATCGTGACAAAATAAAGAATATATAACAACTCTCGCTAGTGTGTTTTTTTAAATGGCAGTAAGAATTTAGATATTAAGGGTTGAAGGTGTATCTTTCTTTACATTCGCCATATGTTAGCTAGGTTCGTTATTTCAATTTGCGTAATATTAGCTTCCTTTTTGCATTTGATAAATACATTGTATTTACAGCAAATTATAATTATCTAACTTGAACACAATGTTCACTGTTCTGAAGGTAGCCTCAGTAAATATGTTAAACAAAAAATGCAAACGGACATGGTCCCACCGCTGAAAGTATGTACATGTGTGTGTACACAAATGAATTGAAACACATTCTGTTTAGCATTATAAGTCATCATTCCCCCTTTTCTGTTTGTTTTTTCAGAAGCACAATAAAAAGATGGTCCTCAAAGTGGTCCAGCTCACCTCTAAGTCCCACCATGAGAACATCCTGGCCTCTCTGCATCAGCTGAGGCTGCAGGGACAGCTGAGTGACGTCACCGTGCAGGTAGACTACCAGGGAGAAGTGCAGGAGTTCCAGGCCCATCAGGTGATGCTGGCAGCATCCAGCGGCTACTTCAGGGACATCCTCCTCTCTCAGGATGCTACCAGAGACAAAGTATTACTCTCCAATATGCACTCCAATGATTTCTCAAAGTTTTTGGAATTTGTGTACACTGGTAAAGTTGAAGTTGTCAGAGATAAGATTGGTGATGTTCAAGCAACGGCACAGTTTTTGGACTGTGAAGATTTGTCACAGATATGTGGTGAGGCCATGAGTGCTGGAATCCTACAAAAACCTACAAAGAAAACTGAATCTGAGGATGTTGGTAAAGGTGATTTACATGACGCTAAGAATGAAAAAGGGACCAAGGGAAAGAAGCAGCCTAAACGAGTACTTCTCAAGCGGCGGCTCTCTCCTCAGAGCTCTGACAAAGTAGTACTTTCAAAAAGATTAAAGGCAAAGAATGCAGTGAAGAGTGATCAAAGACACATAAAAAAACTAAAACTGAGGCTGACTGGTCGTAAAATCCTTCCGAGGCATTTAAATACCAAAAAAGTGGCTAGCATCAACAATGAAAACCAAGTTACAGATGAAGACACAGTGGAGAATGAAGACAGGACTGAAGCTGAGGCTCAGGCAGAGGATGGGGACAAATCATCTTTGGGAATGCCAGCTGCTGATGTAGATGATTGGGAATGTGAGGGATATGTACAGAGTAGTGATCGTGAGGAGTCCTTGTTATCTCTGGGAGAAGAGGAGGAGGAGGAGGATGATGAAGAGGAGGATGATGATGAGGAGGAGGAGGATGAGGAAGGACAATCCAAGGAGACATCCAAAAGAACTTCCAAGGCCCAGTTCCAGTGTAACAAGTGCCAGCGGACGTTCCATTATGAGAGAAGCTACTTAAAGCACATCAGGTAGGAAAAATTAGCTAGGTATAGTAAATTGATTTATTCCATAGATACCCCAAAGCTTCTGAAAATAATCTTCTATATCGAATTTGGCCAGGCTTCCAGTATGACATTTTAATTCCAGAGCACACAGCTGTTTGCAAGCTAACAAGCTTATTTACACATTTCTGTCTGTTTCTTGTTGGTATTATAGCATTATTTGATTGTTTTAGTATGCCTTAAATAGCCTGGTCATATTGCAAAAAAATGTAAATGTACAAAAAATGGAATATAGCTAAGCAATAAGATACAAAATACTGAAATGTGTCCTTACACAAATTACGAAAATGGTAGATAATATTGCATGAAGGAAGTTATATACAATTATGTTGTTTACCAGCTCCCCTATTGGAGACAGCGCTGTGCAATCACAACCTCACAATCATTTTTATTTTTTTTGAGTTGTAGTACTTAAAAGATTTAGGTCAATTGAGAATGATGCAAAAGCACTTTCAATAGTAAGGCTTATTTGAAGCTAATGCACTTCCAGGTTTCTTGCTGTTAGTTTTTATCTTCATGGTTTATTGCACTTCTTTTACATTGCTAAATGAAATGTTACGTAATGTAATGAATTGATCTTATAAGGCAAATTGTCCTCTAAAGTTTAAAGCTGTCAGATGATCATCGATGCCATTTGATGATATATTTCGGTTATTGCTCTCCAGTACGTATCATGGAGTAAAAGCAGATGTCATCTATCGCTGTGAGACCTGCCAGCAAACCTTTGCTAACCGTAGCAATCTGAAGATCCACGAAAAGCACGTCCACAGTAACGAGAGGCTGTTCACCTGCGACTCCTGCGGGAAGACCTTCAAAAGGAAGAAAGATGTTGTCCGCCATACAAGACAGGTGATGATTTATAGTAACTACATACAAGAACGAGAGTCCAATATAACGTCCCCTGATTTGATCATATTTGTCTTTCATTCCCTCTGCTTTTCAGGTACATGAACGTAACAATATGAGACATGTCTGCACTGACTGTGGGAAGGCACTCAGCTCCAAAACTGCCCTGTTGTTGCATGAGAGGACACACACAGGGGCCAAGCCTTTTGAGTGCAGCGACTGCGGGGCCAGATTTACCCAGAACTCTGCACTCAAGATGCACCGCAGGTACGGAGCTCGCTAAAGATGCTAAAAGGCGGCATATTGCTACTAAAAGTTGATGAGAGCTAAATGTTCTTGTTTTCTTACATGTAGGACTCACACAGGAGAAAAGCCATTTGCATGTGATGAGTGTGAGTCCAGGTTCACTCAGAAACACATGTTGGCCTATCATAAGCGATCACACACGGGTAAGAAACTATTGAGACCATCATCTTTAACCCTGCCTCTGTTAAACATGTCTTCTAAAGTGAGCCTGCAACCATAAAGACAAGGCTATCTTCACGTATCAGATCATAACTGAATAGATTGTTATTTTCCTCTTGTTAGGAGAGAAGCCCTTCATGTGTGAGGCCTGCGGGAAGAGCTTCGCATCTAAAGAATACCTGAGGCACCACTCAAACATCCACACTGGGTCCAAGCCATACAAGTGCGAGCAGTGTGGCCGAGGCTTCGCTCAGAGGAATTCCCTACACCAGCATCTGAAGATACATACAGGTAATTGGATAAATCGCTGACCTCGGTTTTTCTTGTTAATTCGTAGGCATAATACAGAAACCAGTTTGACTGTTGTCTACTGATTACAAACTTCATATATTCTCTGGCATCTCTGTTTATTCCTAGGTGAGCGTCCCTACAGCTGTAAAGACTGTGACAAGCACTTCACCCAGCTCAATGCCCTCCAGAGGCACCAGCGTATCCACACAGGAGAGAAGCCATACATGTGTGGTCTCTGTCGGCGCACCTTTACAGACAAGTCCACCCTCCGTAGGCACACTATGGTGAGCATCGTTTTATCTTACTGTAGCAACAATTATCCCATAGGGTCATTTTGAACTGTATAGTGGCGCAGGAATAAGTCTTAAAACCTGGAAATTAGTAACCACCATAAACGTGCTTTTGCCAAGATTTTGTTTTCTGCCATATTCCGAAATCCAATTTTTTTTCACACCTTTCCAATGAAAAATTCCCATTGCTTTTTGTCTAGGGAGCCCTTGTAAATCTTTCATGTCGGCCTACAGAAACAGTGTTGATCTAACTTGTACTGTGGCAGAATTAATTTACCCTTGATCAAAAGGGGGGATATTGGTAAATAAATACTTAACCATTTGTATTTGAATCACTCACCCTGTGCTTCCTTGAAATGTAAAAGTTTCCACGCATGCCTCCACGGTAAACAATGTGAAAATAACATAAGCTTGTCAAACTTCCAGATTCATGACTCCACCGCTCCGTGGAAAACCTACCTTGTGGTTCTGGAGGGAAATGTGGAGGATAAGAAACCAAAATCTCCTACTAAGGGAAAGACTGAAAAAGCAGGAGCAAAGGAGAAAAGGAGCACCGCTAAAAAAAATAATGTTGCTGCTGCTGCTTCTGAGAACACTCACACGGACTCCTTTGAGATGTCTTCTGAGCCTGTGATCCTCCCACCTGAGTGGACCGGCCATGGGGCCATCGCTCTGGTCAGCCACGGGGCCCTCGGCGGGATCACCGTCATCCACACAGAGATGCCCCCTGGGACCCAGATCCAGCCTATCATAACCACTGACAGCACGGGGGCCAGCGTCATTTCCATAGATGGATCAGGCATCCCTTTCTCCATACCAGTGTCCATTGCTCACAGTCTGCCCATGTACTCTGAAGCCTCCATGTCTCTGTCTACATCCACTGTTGTTTCTCCTGTTTCTGATGGCCCGTTCACGTCAGAGATCCAAACCATTTCTACGTCATCTGTCCTGGAAGCCGCGGTCTCACAGACCATTTTAGCTCCAGTTTTAGAGACGAAGGCCACGTCCCAGGCGGATATTTCGCAGCCTGATCTCCTGACCGTGGTAATCGGTAATGGTGTTTGCCCAAATGAACTAACAGCTGCTGTCCAAGGTGATGGAACGCAGAGGACAGCAGACTTAGACGATCCCTTAGCTCAAGATGCTGTGTAGGAAATGCTTTTTAATATATAGAATTTTATCTGGGTGTGATGAATTTAAAATCACCCTTTTAATGGTATTTCACGTTTGGAATTAGCTGTGTGTTCTGACCATGTGGGGTTTCATCATTACTGTCATCTCAAAGTCCTTTGTTTCATTAACAGACCGGGGTGTCTTCAGTGTTAGTCGCACTCAAAAGAAAAATCATGTTTCAGGAATCAAATCTAAATATGACTAAGATATTAGTGTAATCATAAAATAATATTGTACATATTTCATCAATTATAGAGTCAAACGTGGCATAACTCATACTGCTGAGGATTTGTTATGGTGTGAATGTAAATGAATTGTGTATGTCACTTTTCTTTCTTTAGAACCATGTACACATTGCCACAGCTGTGTTTCAAACAGCATGAAATCCTTTATCCGGCTACACCCAATAATGAAAGTTGTACTTTTTTCCAATAAAGAAAAAGACCTCTGAAGTTTGTAATTTTCCTTCAGGCTGTTTAATTTTAAGTGACTCCTATTCAAATGCATGGCAAGAAAATGTAATTAATTGTATTTTGTTGTAAGGAAATGCACACTAACCATTATACAGAAATCAAATCACTGTTATGTAAGGACATGGCGCAGTAAGGTCAGAACTCGACTACATTGTACACTAAGAGATGATCGATTAAGTGGATAGATCTTTCTGTTTACAGCCCTAAACAAGCTTCATCAATCATATGGTTTGTTTGAGTGTCAGGTTACACTCTGACGTTACATCAACAGCAAAGAATGACAACAAGAAATCTATTTGTCAATAAAGGTAAATAACTTCACTATATATCAATTGGAACAACATCAATAAATATTGTATTTGGTTATCATAAATTGAACAAAAAATATGAATACATTAATAATTAAATACTATACTTTTTCCCCCCACTCCTGACATAAAGATGAATAGTTCAGTTATAAGGTTTTTTGTACTGCTGGAAAAATGCAGTTACTGGGATATTCGTTGAACTGGCAAAGTGTTAATAAAATGTTATAAGCCTTACGACAAAAATAGAATTGTTGAATGTTGAACAAATATAAAAGCTTAGAAGTGAATCACATTGCCGGTTAAAAAGTAAGGTCAAAGGCAGGAGAACACAGCTGGGATTATAAGATCTTTATTATTGTCCATTCGTACTAGCATACAGATCATATCCAAGGTCCATTGTCATTCTGTGTGGAAGAAGCTGGATACGGAGGGCGACTCGACCCTTTAGTAAAAACTTTGGTCTGGCTCACACTAGAGAATGTAACACGAGGCTAATCTATACACAATGACATGCTTTAGCGAATGGCCGTTTGGAAGGGGCACTGCAGTAGTAAACCCTTGAGGATAAGTTCACATCACAACACAGCATGAGATGAGTAATGACGCACACAACCCCTAAGATTACTGCCCCTGGAAATAAGGAGGAAAGGTTTCCACGTCAGTGCTATTCATTCAAAAATACATTCTTCCACAGGCAAACTATAAACCACAGCTTACAGATTCAAACATTCAAAGTACATGAAGAAATGGAAAGTAATATTAAAAGAAGCAGAAGTAATTTCAGTATGAATGTGTGTTAGGGAAAGAATCAGATTAGATAAAAATGTTTAACAGTCTACCCTTGGTGCATATCATCGCTCTTCCTCGAGAAGAGTCGCTCCATGTAGGTAATACACTGGAAAACAAAATCACTTTCTATGTGGCTGGAATTCCTAACAACACATTGACCTACTCCAACAAATAAAAGATAAATATAATAGTACATTATTGATAATCTTATGAATAACAAACTGAACATTTAAATAATCGTTTTAAATATAACATAAACTACATTTAAAAAAACAAAACAAGCTGCTTCTGACGAGGAAACAATAATTGTACAAAACATGCAGTGCGTTTGTCAATACTAACATCAGTTTCAATACAAAGTACCACTCACCCCCCCCCCCAGGACAGATTCCAGCAGAAAAAAAGGGTATGCAGCAATCCTCTAGACAGAGGTGAGGGCGGAGGATTTACAGTCTGACTAGATTCAGATACGCTCGTAAGGAAAGCAAAGATAGTACTCTGACGGTGTACAGTGGAATATTCAAAGTCGTCTTCAGATTCTATACACAGTGAGGTGAGTGAAAGTGTGTGTGTGTTGTGTGTGTGTGTGTGTAAGCATGCGTGATGGATTTGTCCCTCTGTGCTGCATTTTTACACCCCAGATTCTTTCTTCATTTTAAATCCCCTTCATCGCCCTGGATGGTCTTTTTGATGCGCAGTAGGAGGGTTGTGTGCCACTGGTCCAGACGTGAGATCGAGTCAAAATCTTTTATCTGCATGAGGGGGGGGGGGGGGGGGGGGGAGAGGAACACAGGAATACGATTATTTCCCAAATGAGGATTACAATGGAAAATTCTGCTTACTTAGTTTACCCTTACTAAGGACATTTTCGGCTGTATTAAGGCATTTTGTCAGGGGTGAGTTTTTTTCTCCAAATGTTGTAAGTCCTATAATAACAAATAATCAGTGAAATTCAAAGAAGTACATTAATTTATATACAGTTTATATATTTTATGGCAGATTTTTACTCACACAAGGGTTAATTTGCAATGCTTTACTGGTTCCAATTCAAATGTCTCCCAACATCTGCCATGTAAAACTGTGCTTTATGTAATATATTATAGATGAACACTCTTCACTTTCTAAAATTAAGTTTTAAAACTTGTTTTCAGTTATATATGGACGCCCTCCACCAGTCTGTAGGACGTCCATATCAACAGACTGAGTGGATACCTGCCAGCTTTCAACTTTCTTGAACACACAGGGGACCCAGGACAACTACAGCAGCTGAACAAAGGGATTTCCTCTGCTCTCCAAAAGTTTCAAAACTTTTTTAGGTTATACAAGACTTACTGCCTCTGTGAAAGCTTCACTGTTCTGTTCCTCATGAGCCTCAAGAAGTTTCTGTTAAGACAAAGAAATGTAGGTTACTCATAGAAACTGAAGAGACTAAGAAGGAAAAGTAAGCTAACAGAATCCTCAGGGTTTTTAGTATTGAGTTACCTTCAGCAGTTTGCATTCTCGAGAGTCTGAGAAAGCTGGGAACATCTCCTCGTATTTTTCAATAGCAATCTGTGGAGACACAGTGTGTTAAACCAACTGACAGTCCAAAATCCTGAGACTGACCCGCAGCGGTATAAACTAACCTTAGCGTTGAGCTCATCGACGAGGAAATGACAGAGGGAAGCTTTGAAGAAATACTCTTTGGCGCTGTATTTCAGCAGTGTGTTATCCATCGTGTTAGCTCCAACCTAAATACATCCAAAACAGTTTTAGAAATGTCAACATTACCAAATCAGTTTGGGCTGAGGAAGTATGACAAGTACAAGAAGTGCTCACCTGCTCGTAGATCTCAATAGCCCTCTGGTACTGCTCTATCTGGGCGCAGTAAGCCCCCACCTTCAGCAGACACTTGTTGGCAGAGCTATGGAAAATTGCAAAAGGTACACATAACATTTAATACAACACGAAATATGAGAGCTATACATCTGGAGTATGAATCAATTGATCCATTTATGTGACTAGTTTGCAGTTCAAAAGCATGGTACATTAGAATGGAAAATTGTGATGGTTAACAGTAGAAGATGACACAGGTGCAACTGATAACAATAACTTTGATTATCCACTGTAAATGTCAAACAGCCATCGTTAACTTTATTATTAACAGATAAGTTTAGAAAGCACGGTAATCCTTTATAAGCTCAGTGTGATTTTTTGTAGCATTCAGTATTCTGATCTGAAATCCATACATAACCTGGTCAATGTTGCTTGTTTATCATTGCAGCAAACTAATGTAATTCTGCAGACAGGCCCTTTTTCAGTGCTACTGCTGTATTTTATCATGCCATAGCAGAGTGAACACAGGTGTAAATAATAATGATATGCTTATTAAGGTAATAAGAGACATTTGTGCCTTCCCTGCATTGATTCAAAATGTGAAAATGCTCACAGAGAGATATAGAGATAGACATACAGTATAAGCTATCCAGTAGAAGGTTTGTTAAACTAATTTACTAAACTAATCTAAAGTGAAATTGTTATTATTTTAAACATTCTAATCCTAATGAGTTTTATCCTAATATCATGTTGTTGAAAATAAGAGTGCTACACTAAGTGTGCTACTATTATGATAATGATCAGTTTAAGAGATTGCAGAGCTGGAAAAAGACATAACATGCAGTATTTTACATTACCTGTTGGATTCTTCCCCTTTGTAGTAGTCTGCTGCTTGTTCATAATGTGCAATAGCCTTTAAATAAAATAAAAACATGTTACACAAATACTGTTGTGTGTTCCTCAAACAAATAAGGTGGTAGAATCCCTACTGTATAACATCTCATTGTGTGATTCTTACCTTTTCAATATCCACCAGTTCAGACTCGTAGATCTCTGCGATATTGATGTGGTGTTTGGCTGCGATGGTGAATCTTCCCTGGAGGAGAAGAAGAGAAATCATTACTAACTGGATCTATCCAGAGTCAATGTGTTGCATTACATTCTCAGTGCAGAGAGGCGAGGTCAAGCAGTAGCTTCATAACTACAAGGTTTAAGCTTTTGAAATAAATCCTTGCTAAAGGGAATGCTAAGTAGGCAATTTGGTCCAGGTAGCAAGCTAAATGATGTGATGTTAGATCTACAGTAATACTGGGAATCCAAGAAGAGTAGACGTCATCATTTAACATTTCTCAGCTATAAAACAAGTACAATGATACAGCCAGTTTCTGGATCAGAACATAGATGGACACTTTCTATATGAATCTTACCCTATGACCTTACCATGTCTGTGTATATTTCGATGGCAGCATTTAAACACTTGATTGCCTCTTTTAGCAGCATAAAGGCAAGAGGAGGGAATAATTTAATTTCATGTTAGTTTTGTTCAGATCTAACATTGTGCACAGCACCTGTTATGCTGTGCTAGGATAAAATGAATATGAGGTGTAATACAAAACAAAACCACAAGCAAGACCCTACCTTTTTTATACAAAACAAATGCATCAGCAACCTACTATTCCCAAGACCTACAGTATGGCTTAATCTATATTTGGAAGACGATTGATTGAGGCCAGAGAGTACAAAGAGCCCTATAACTCAACAAATTGGAAACTCCATAACAAGGGTAATAACTCGCATATTATAATTCATTCAAACAGCAAATCAATAAAGGCAGATTCTAAAAAAGTGAAATCGGTCTCGTTATAAAATATAGGCTCATAGCTTGAAACTAAAGTAAATCATTAATTACTTTAACAGTGCAAATATTTATGTCTACAATTTCAGGCACTAAAATGTAAGTTGTGATTTGGACCTAATGAGTTACCACATGTTCTCACCATTGGGGTCAGACTTCTTGAAAGCATTTCCTGCATCAATGAAGCTGGTGGCACAGTCGTGTTTGTTCTG